GCCAGCCCGGAGCGGGGCGCTGACATCGCGCTGGGCTCGGAAAGGTCGCTTGGCCACGCCGTGCGGTCGGCCGACACCGGGGACGTGGCGGGCAGCCCGGCCGCCGGGAAACGGCGTCTGTCAGTCAGAAGCGCGGGCAAGGCAGTCAGGCGGCCGGCTCCGGCGGGAGCGCGGGGACCGTGAGGGCCGTGGGAGCGGGCGGCCGGACCCGACCGGCGCGCGGGCAGGGGGTGGGAGCGGGGCCTCCCTTCCTGGACCCTGGCCCCGGGGCCTACAAACAGCTGGAGAGCCAGCGCCGGCGCTGAAGCGGTGGAGGGGGCGAGGCTTCGCCTCAGCCTATCCCAGGTCTCGCTTCCGGTGACATCACGTCTCCTAGCAACCGCGGGGAGGGGGTGGGACCGGAAGTAGAAACGCTGGGTGCGCTCTCCACCACCACCACCACCACCACTACTGCCATCAGAGCCTCCCAAGGCTGATTTTAAGTTGGTCGCGAACGTGTAGGAGCTGCACGTGTATTTAAGCAGGTGAACAGACTTAAACAGTTACAGATGTCACGCATCTACCGCAGACATCCCCCTTACAAGGTTCCTCTCCAAATAGCTCCTGTCTTGCTCTCCTGCTACTTCACTCTGAAAGCATGCTTGAAACAATTTATTGAATATGGCTTCTGTTCCAAACATTTCATTATCCCATCAACAAAGATCGGAGGAACTGAACCGATGTCTAAAAGGGACAAATGGAGTGAATAGGATTTCTTTTTGAGAGAGAGAAATAAAAACAAAAGGAATTCAAGACAAAAGATATGCTTCTACTTATCAATTAAGATTCAGACACATATACAATAAAAGAGCTTGGTAGAGTTCCTGATCGTGAGCCAATGGTAGTTTCAGGAGAAATGTAGCTTAACCACGTTAGCGCACCACTAATAAGCCACCCCTCTTTCCCCCCTCCCCCATTGATGTTTGTTTTTAAAAACAATGGCTAACAACCTGGTCTTCCAAATAATGTCTCACCTCTAGGTTCTTATTGCTTCTGTTTCCTCTATTTTCTTTTTTTCTTCCACACTATTGTTCTTTGGTGTGAACTTTGTTTTTGCCTTCTCACATGTGTGAAGTAGTATTGAAGAAAAAGAGAACAACAACAACAAAAAACTTGTTCAAGTAACTCAAACAGAATGGTGAGACAAGGGACAAAGCGTGAATCAATGCAACAGCAAGACACTGTTGGAAATGAACTTTATAACTTGGGGGTGAGGAAAGAAGGGGGAGGGAACGTGGGAGAAAACAAGGGAGGGGGCAATAATGCTCAAAAACATACTCATTAACTTACATCATTGTAACCCCTCTGTACATTGCCCTTACAATAAAATTAAATTTAAATAACTCAAACTGAAAAAGAGAACAAAAAATATTTGTATAACTCAGACTAGTAGCCTAGTTTTGAAGTCTGGCCTCCTGTTTTCCCCTTTTTGGATCTGTCCAGTTACATCCAGTTAATTCAGCAATGATAAAGTTACTTTCATTCTTGTAATAAGAATATTTGAGCCTAGCACTGGTGGCTTACGTCCATAATCCTAGCTACTCAGAAAGCTGAGATCTGAGGACCATGATTCAAAACCAGCTGGGGCAGAAAGTTCCTAAGACTCTTATCTCCAGCTAACCAGTCACCAAAGAATTGAAACTGGGGCAGTGACTCAAGGTGATAGAGCACTATCCTTGAGCTAGCGCTTGACAGCACCTAGGCCCTGAGTTCAAGCCCCACAATCGACAAAAAAAGAAAGCATTTGATAAAGGTTAAAAAACATGACATAGGGTGATATTATCCAAAAAGACACATACTTTTTACCTAACTTATGTAACTGTAACCCCTTGTACATGACCTTTATAATAATAAAAAATTAAAAACACAAATCTGGAAGTAAAAAAATCCAACAAAACATGACCTAAAAGCAAATCTTAGGAATTATCATGGAATTTAAATATATTTTAAATAAAATCATAAATGAATGCAAACATATATTGCTTAAGTATATCTATATATCTATATATATATGTTTTGATACTGCAGAGCTTCTGTTTGGCAAAGGTCATAGCTAGCAAGATCAATAGAAAACCCAAGGATTGGGAGATCTTCACTAGCCATACAATGGACAAGGGTCTCATCTAAAATATACTTAGAACTCAAAAAAGTAAATCCCCCAACAACAAATCCTCAAAGAAACTACCACCCAATTAATAAGTGGGCGAAAGACTTAAAGAGAAACTTCTCTGAAAAGGAAATAAAAATAGCCAATAGACACATGAAGAAATGTTCAACTTCTCTAGCCATAAAAGAAATGCAAAACAAAATAACATTGAGATTCTACGTCGCCCCAGTTAGAATGGCTATAATCCAGAAAGCTAATAACAGATGCTGGAGGGGATGTGTCCAGAAGGGAACCCTACTGCATTGTTGTTGGGAGCGTAAATTTGTTCAACCACTTTGGAAAGCAGTATGGAGGTTCCTCAAAAGACTACACATAGAGAGCTTCCCTATGACCCAACAATCCCACTTTTGGGCATTTACCCAAATGATCACAAACAAGGCCATACTAAAGCTATCAGCACAACTATGTTTATCACAACATTATTCACCATAGCTAAGTTATGGAACCAACCCAGATGCACCTCAGTAAGTGAATAGATCAAGAAAATGTGGTATATATATATATATATATATATATATATATATATATATATATCTTATAATGCAATTCTATGCCTCCATCAGAAAGAATGACATCACTCCATTTGTTAGGAAATGGAAAGACCTAGGAAAATTGTATTACGTGAAGTAAGCCAGTCCCAAAGAAACATAGGTCCTATGGTTTCCCTTATCTGCAGTAAGTAGTATATATCTAGGACAAGCAGAAAAGCTACATATGACCATATAAGATGATGCTAAGTGAAATGAACCCCAAGATAGGGACACAAGAGGTTTTATCATTGTTGTTGTTGTTTTAAATGTACTATGTGATTTTTTTTGTTTCTCTTGTATGTTCTTACCCCATGGTATAACCCCTTGTTTTCACTGTATTTGATTCCAGTGCCCTGCATCTTGTATATACCTTTTTCTAATTTGGGGAGGGGAAGGGAAATAACAAAAAGCTGAAATAAGGATATAGGTTGCCCTTTCAGAGATACAAGAGCAGAATCTGCTAGGGCTGCTAGAAAAATATGGACCATGAGGCTTAAACAACAGATATTGCCCAAAGTTCTGAAACATTGGGAAAACCCAGATCAGGGTGACAGCATGCTCAGGTAATAGTTAGGACCTTCTTTTTGCACATGGCTGTCTTATAATATATTAACATGACCAAGGAAGAGTGGGGGATGCAAAGAGAAACACCTCATATCTCTTTTTATAAAGGGGCTGCACTCATAAGTTCATCTAACTCACCCACAAACATCCCACCACCAGATATTACAACATCAGAGCTTAGGGCTGCAACATATGAATATTGTAAGGAAACAAACATTCAATCTGCAGCAAGAGATGCTACCTTTTCTTTGTATCCTCAGCACTAAGGACAATGCAAAGCACATGATAGCACTCAGTGAGTTGAACCGAGTCCTGTAAACACTTCTCTACTATAGTTTTTAGTTTATCTTTTGATAAACTAATTTTCTTAGAATAAGAGTCATCTTTACCAAGTTGCTAAGTTAAGTTACATGAATAAATCATCAAAATAATATTAAAGTAACAAAAAGTGCTACTTTTATATGACATCATCCATCTTTTCTCTTTATTTGATCAATAGATAAATTCAGTATTTCATTTGAAATGGATCCCATATGGCCACAAATCTAGGAGTCTTACCTTGATCTTTTAGCAGACATTCTAGTACTTCACTGCTGATATCTATCCTGTTTTCCAGGAACGGCAGGGACTTTATCTAGAGGGATCCTATCCCCTTCTGATGGCAACCTGGTACAGAGTTGGAGACTGCATATTGTTATCCACATTCTTGAAATTTTGTCCTCCCTAGTTCTCATTATACCTGTTCATACTGAGATTTTCTTGCTGGTCCAAGTACTTGCAAAGACTATAGTTCATATTTAGAAACCTACTTTGGCATCTTCACATGGTTAGTTATTGTGCCACAAAGGACAGTGCAGTTGAATGAATCTTCTTTTGCTGAGGCTCGGATTAAGTAACCATGATAGCATTTACTGATTCTGGGCATGGACTCATCAAGCTTGATCTGAGCAGAAGACTTTACTTAGAAAAAGAGAAACCACTGTGTTGTGAATTGCAGATTGAAAAACTTAAAAGAATCCCCAAACATAAAACTAAGTTTTCTGTAGGACCTTTGCTGAGTTCTGTAGTGGAGAAAGGGACTGAGGCTCTGGACTTGATAGGCAAAATCATTCCTTCCCCCGCCCCCCCACACACATTCTACCACTATATATAGAACCTACTAACTCTACCCAGAAGAAAGAACCTGCCTAAGATACACAGAAACCCTTCCCATTCAAGATATTTACAATTATTTATGAAGTTGTATGACCAAGAAGGTAAAAGTTTAAGCTTAAAGCTTCTCAATGGAAGAATTGAGGGCAGAGGAAACAAACACCCTTCCTGTTCTTGAGGAAAAGTTCACAGAACTCATAAAAAACAGAATTAAATAAGGAATGGACCAAGTCTTTAAAACTGTAAGCAGTCTTTATCCAGTTCATCCCTGATTAGACAAAGGTAAGCAGACTTCCAGTCTTATCTATCTTCATTTCTGGAAGAAAATATTACCACCATCACCTACAGATTTTAATTTAAAAAATTATATGACATATGGTTTTTAAAAAGTCTGAGACATGAAAATATCAAGAAAATCTAGCCAATAACAAAAAGGGAAAATAGATAATAGAAGGCCAATAGGTAAACCTGATGTTAAACTTACGATCAATAGTCAAAGTTCTTTTAAGTCAGGAACTTAAAATAACTATTATAAAACAAAGCAATAGGTTATAAAATGGAAGAAAAAATGGATTTAAAGGTGAAGAATTTTGACAAAGATTTGGAATCCAGAAAAAAGGAATGGAAATATATTAAATTGAAAACTGAAATCCAGAACTGGATAGACAATTGTAACAGCAGACTGACCGTAGTGGAACAAAGAATTAGTGAGTTCTGGGACAGATCAAGAAAAAAAGATATCCACATTGAAGAACACGGGGAAAAAACTGGAAAGAACAGAACAGAGCTTAAAAGCAAAATGGACAAGGAATAAACCCATCATAGATGTGACTGGACTCCTAAAATATAAAAGATAGTGAAAGAGGCAGAAACAGTATTTGAAGAAATACTACCAAGAATTTTACAAAATAAGTTGTGAAAATAACTCAAAATGACTCATAAATCTAAATTGGAAGGGCTAAAAATATAAAAAGCTGCAAGAAAAAAAGCAAATCTTAGTGACTCAGCCAATGATTTCTTTTTTCTTTTTGTCTTTTTTTTGGTCGGTCGTTGGGCTTGAACTCTGGGCTTGGGCGCTGTCCCTGTGCTCTTCAGCTCAAGGTGAGCGCTCTACCGCTTGAGCCACAGCACCACTTCCAGTTTTCTAGTAGTTTATTGGTCTCATGGACTTTCCTGCCTGGGCTGGCTTTGAACTGTGATCCTCTTAGCCTCATGAGTAGCTAGGATTACAGGCGTGAGCCACCGGTGCCAGCTCAGCCAATGATTTCTTAGCTATGACACCAAATGCATAAATACTTGAAGAAGAAAAGTGGTGGACTACATAGAAATGGAAAACTTTTTTTTTTTTTTTGGTTGGTCATGGGACTTGAACTCTGGGCCTGGGCCCTGTCCCTCAGCTCTTCAGCTCAAAGCATGCGCTCTACTGCTTGAGCCACAGCGCCACTTCTGGTCTTCTAGTAGTTTATTGGACATAAGAGTCTCACGGACTTTCCTGCCCAGTCTGGCTTTGAACTGTGATTCTCAGATCTCAGCCTCCTGAGTAGCTAGGATTACAGACATGAGCCACCAGCACCCGGCAGAAATGGAAAAACTTTCAAGGTGACTAACAGAGACAAAGTGTCTCTGATCAATATGTCTTATATCCATAAAGGAACAACTAATTATACGGATAATTAGTGCTAATTTTTAAAAAAGAAATTAAAAACTATGCCAAGGAGCAGTGACTCACACCTGTAATGCTAGCTTCTCAGAAGACTGAGATATTGAGGATGATTGCAGGCCAATCTAGGCAGCAAAGTCTATTTCTGGAATAATGAACAAAAACCTGGACTAGAACCATGGATCAAGTGGTAGAGCTCTAACCATGCAAGCCAACCGAGCTCAGGAAGTGGCTCTGAGTAGAAAACTTTGTCCTGTAAGCAATACCATCATAAACTTTAAAGGCCATCAAGAGAATGTAAACATTCCAAACAAGACAACTACGAAGATCTTTGCAAGTGGTATACCTGATCAAAGACTTATATCCAAAATATTGTAAAGAATACTTATAGTTAAATAACAAAACAACTAGATTCATTTTTGAAAATTAAATAAGCATTTCTCCTAAGAAGATAGTCAAAAGGCCAATAGTCACACCTAAAATATACGCAATATCTTCAGTCATTAAATAAATGCAAATCAAAACAATGATGAGATGCCATTCAACATGCACTAAGGTAGCTGTAATAAAAAAAATACAAACAATAAAAGGTAATGTGAAGCCAAGGCACTGGGAGCTCATGCCTATAATTCTAGCTACTGAGGAAGCTGAGAGCTGAGGATCACATTTTGAAGGGAGCCCACTCAGGAAAGTCTGTGAGACTCTTATCTCCACTAAACTATTAAAAAAAAAAACCTGGAAGTGGAGTTGTGGTCTATGGTAGAGTGCTATCCTTGTGCAAAAAGAAGTTCAGGGACAGTTCTCAGGCCCTGAGTTCAAGCCCAGGCCTGGCACATAAATAAAGTAATGGTGAATATGTAGAGAAATTAGAAGCCTTAGACTTTGTCCATGGGAATACAGAATCATGTCAACAATTCAGTTTCTCAAAAAGGTGTACATGGAATTACTGGATGGCCCAATATTTGGACTTGCAGAGAAATAAAGACATATGGCCATACAAAACCTTACATGCAAATATTTATAACACTGTTATTCACAATGATCAGAAAAATTGGAAACAACTCAAATGCCCATCAACTGACCAATGAATAAATAAAATGTGATGTCCATACAATATGATTGTTATTATTATTCCCAGTGGTATTATTTATCATTTACCAATAAAAAGAAATGAAGTACAAAGACATATTGTTTAATACAGATAAAAATATGGCAAGTGAATGAAGGAAGTAATAAAGGTCACTAGTATACAATTCCATTTATATAAATGTCCAGAGACATTTTATATAGACAAACTTAGAAAGTGAGTTTGTGATTACTTAGAGCTGGTGGTAGGGAAAATTAGACTTACTACAAATGAATTTGAGTTCTATTTTAAAGGGTTTGGAAGTGTTTTAAAATGATTGTGGCAATGGTGTTGTAACTCTGACTATGCTAAAAAATGATTATACATTTTAAATAGGTGATGTGTGTATGTTAATTATATGGCACTAAAGCTGTTTACAGAAAGAGAAAGGAAAAGAAATCCACCCACACAAATACAGTAAGGCTTTCAAACCTCCACTAGGATAAATACACTAAAGTGTAATTGAATACACCACCATTAAACCCACTATACCTGAATACATCATAGTTACAGAAACAGTGTATCAAAGGCAATTAATTACATCAAGAGTGTTTGTAGCCTTAAACATGTTAAAGAAAGAAAACAGGAAATTTAATGAGCTCAGTTAATTGAAAGAATAACATAAACTAAACATAGAAAATGACATAAATAACCAGAGAATAAACCAAATGAAGATTTCCCTGGAGGCTTCTAACTGTATTTGAACATATTGCATACATAGGTGAGCTAGAATCCTATCAGCTCATTTATGGCTAATGAATTTCCCTTTTGGATTTCATAATTTACCAATTCTAGTGTTGATAAGGTTCAAAATGTGACTCTGATAGTTTGTGGCTGAGGTTTGAGGGGAGGAGTGAGAAGTCAGGGTGCTATGTGGGTGATGGGAAGAGTTCTGATCTCATTACATGAGAGCTTGAATATTATTATAAATGTTACTTTCCAGGGGGAATCAGAGAGTGTACTGGTGATTTAATAACCCATAGGAGGACTCTAAGAGGCTTAAATAAGCCATCTGGCATTCTAGCCTTTACTTTAGGGTAAGATAAAATTTAGCCATATCAAACAGAGTTGAATATAATACCTGTTAGAGTTAAACTCTAAAGTCTTCTTAAAATAACCATTAATGATTTGTTCATCCCCTGATTTAGAAATGTCTGGCTCTCATTAAATCTTGAAATGTTCTCATTAGTCTCTATAAGGCTGTTTCTCAAATACAGGGATGTATAATTCTAAGATATCATTGTTCTTTAATGAAACATTATATTTTCATTCAGTAATTTATTTATCCAAACACTATTCACAAACTTATATTGAGCTGACAAAGGTTAGAAAAATATTGTTTTGGGAAGGCACCTCCTTGGGAAATAATCCCTTTTGTGTTGCAGTATTGAATTTTAATCATGTGAAGGTCCTCATAAATAAATACAGATGTTCTTTGTGTTATAAATAATAAATATATTTCTTATGTGTTGACACTATGGTTTTCACTTCTCTGAATAATGTACTACTTACTCAAATAATCTCACAATGACTAAGAACACAGTTTCTAGACTTAGATTGATTAAATTTGAAGCCTGGCTCTACTACTTACTAGCTGGGTGATCTACATTTCAATTTCTATTCATTTCAATGTCTACATC